ATTGGAGGAGAGTATTTCAATATATTTTCAATATTCAGCGACTGCTGGATTTTTATATATATATATTTTTTGCTTAATGTCATTCAGAATTCACAGCTTCAAGATCTCCAAAGTCAAATCATATGATCATTGCACACTCATAAGTTTTCTCATTATTTTGCCATTAGCTCTCATGCTACACAACTCAAACTCCCAAGAAATCAACTTCCCTGTGGAGTCGAACTCAAATCAAACAGCTACTCAAGATCGTTGATCACTTGGAAATGACGAGCAGGTGAAGGTGGATGTTGAAAATCTAAAAAAAGCTAATCACTCGAGTCGTTATGCAGTCTGGGAAAGCCTGAGCATTCCGGTACATTATATTTGTACGGTTTACAGGGTTTACATGGGCGTTTATAGTCTCATGATTGCTCAGGCAACGAGAGGTCAAAGGTCAACCTACACGCAAGCTGGGGAACAATAGGCCAGTTCTGTGGTGTGTTCAGTGGGAACCGAGAGCGCGGCTCTGCACGTACCCTTTCATTACTCTAATCGGTCCAACAGCACAATAGTAAATACAGGGTGGGGACATCATAACTACTCATCTCAGGCCGCCACATATCCATGCTGAACCAGAACGTCCTCGTTGCCTCGGGCAGAAGCTGCATTTTCCCACCACGTCTGCCTGGCAATGCACAGAGAGATGTCACAAGCCGGTGGACAGCAAAGGAAAGCCACCCTGGCAGATTACTGTATGATGGTTCCTGCTTCACAAAGCACCGGGTTTGATGTCGACTGGTGGGTTTTACAAATGTGGTGAATTACATACTGTATGAAAACGACATATTTTTACTCTCCTTTCGTGTCATCATAGGGTTTTCGGATCCTGTTGGATTAGAATGTGGTTGAAGAAGAACATACCTCAAATAGTCAGAGTTCCTTGAACATTTTTGATCTAAATATTGCATGCAACCAGATGGTTTCTTAGCGACTAGGCCCGTGAGCCAAGGACAGAAACGTGAATGATGGAAAAGCGGATTGACTGCAAGTATAATTTGCTCAGGTTTCATCAGATATTGAGAGGTTATACTTTGGAGATGTTTTCTTCTTTCTCAGCCAGCTTATACCCATTGGTTTTCTCTTTTTGTTCTTCAGTGTTAGATCTAATAAAAAGAACAGAAGATGGGCAGTTTATTGTGGAAATTTGTAGAACAATAAAATTGGAAAACTTGCATTAAAGGTGGGGTAAGCGATTTCTGGTAGCCAATGTTGACATTTGGAATCACCAAAACAAACAGGCCCCTACCCCCTTTGTTTTTTATCCGCCATCTATCTTTCTGTCGCTCGGCACGGCTAATGTCTTGTGCTGTGCACTGAACGTTTTCTCCTCCACATCACGAGTAGACACGCCCCTTACTGCAGATTGGCTACAAGTTTGTTTTGCTACTGGCCCGAATCAGTTTTCTAAAGCGTTTTTGAAAAATCGCTTACCCCACCTTTAAGGTGCTGTAATGTTGGCTATCATTAAAAGTATATGAATGGCGGCAATACCGGCATATTTAAGAAGAATAGTGCAAGCAGCACTACACACCCACATGAAAACAACGGCGCAACTGGTGTTTATCATAGCAAAGGCAACATATCATATTAATTCCGTGAGCGGAGGACGAGAGCGCCCGAGTTTATGTGCTTATAAGAAATCTCTAGCATTAATTCTGATCATGGCTTGTCTTGAAAAATGGCTTGTCTTGAAAAACAAAGACTGCAGGACTGTGCGCCAGAAGTTCGTCGGAGGTAAAATTTGATCGCAACGGCCATTAATCGGCTGTCGGTGAACATGTCAAACCAGGAATCAAAGACTACAGATTTTAGCCTAGGATTATAGGAATCTTATAGGATTTTAAACATTTGTCTTAGACGACCAAATCGTGGCCAAATCTCACAGTGTGAGCCGGGCTTAAAGCGTTTTTGAAAAATCGTTTACCCCACCTTTAAGATGTTGTCGCATTAGTAAAATTTCACAGACAGAAAGATTGTCAATAGCTTATGGATGCACAAAGCACCACTTAACAGAAGTCATTTTCAAACCAAGCAGCTTTCTCGTAGTCAGCGTGACCAACTTCAACACAAACGAAATTTTGCTGGGAACTTTTTTGATCTCACCTCAAAATCCTGATCATGCAGATTCCATTAAAATAGTAAATGTGACTGCACCTTTAGCATAATGATGACTACTAATAAATCAATGTGGGAATACAGCTGTCAGATCCTTTACTCTGTTAGAACAAACACCATGTTCATGTAGTTAGATAAGAGATGGGGAAAAAACAAACAAACATTTCAACCAACTCATTTCTATTGAAGATGACTTCTCCAACTGGTGTGTGCCTGAAACTCCCTAAATTAATGCTGATCAGTTCTGATGGGATCTTTATAGTGCCGTTACACAACATTGTACTCTTTTATGACACATGGCATGTGATCTTCACAAATTGTGAATAAATAATTTATAATTCACTCGGTGTGTTTGGCTTCAAAATAAATGAACATGTACATTCATATAAGAGACAAGAATTTCATTAGACATTCTGCAGAATTTTTGACAATTCACTATGGTGAGGAGTTCACTGCAGTGGTTTCCAAAAGTCCTTCCTCACATATTTTTTCTTAAAAAAAACCTCTTTGTACTTTTAAAATATCTAACAAGACTAAGGGATAAAGTATGCGGTACACTCACAGACATGTTTGCAAGGAAAATGAGTTCATTGTCTTTGCGCAAAAGATTCTGTTTGGTGCAGTCACATTATAGTTGTATAGTAGTATATATACACATTATATACTTTGGCAAAATTTTGCAGGGAAAAAAGGTATATTGTCAATAGTGTTGCAATGTATGAAGCACAGCACACACAAAAATCACAGCAAATTCGCATGAATAATATAAGGTGCTGTCATATATTGAAATTTTGCGGGCAAAAAGGTCCACTGTCTATTGTCAACAGTTTAGCGATATATGAAACGCAGTCACTTTCAAACCAAGCAGTTTTCTGTTGGTCAGTGCGGCAGAATCTAGTGACCAACTTTATACCTGTTGTGAAATCTGCATGGGGAAATCTCGTGTCCTCAAGTAAAATTCCTGATCACACTTATTCCTATTAAAATGACTCAATTTTGATCTTTAAAAAATTGCAAAAAGAACAACAACAAAAAAAACAAACAGTAAATGTGACCACATCTTTATTTCATTTTGGGGTGAATTTAACACTTACCTTTTTCTCAAAAGACACCAAACTAGTGTAATGATCAGTAGCAGTCCTAGCATGGAGGCCACTATTATTGTTGCTAGAATACCTGAAAGGAGAATTAACCTGATAATTAACAGTATGTTTAATTATTTAAAGAGTTGGTTTAATGCAGCATGCCTTGTAATTGTTTTGTATGACTTTGTAAATATTATGTTTACAAAGTGCCATTTTTGTAATATAATTGTAAACATTTTATCAAATAATACGATCATAACCTGGTTTAAAATGACTTTTAAGCATCAAGTGAAAGTCAGTGACATTAAAGTCAACATGAAATGGTATTTGCAACCCATTTTATTTCCACAATGTGATTGATTTCAGAGTGAAACAAGATATTCAACAGGGGAAAAAATGACAGGACTTGATTTTATCCATTGGGAATTGTTTGAATCATGAAAAGTGGATGTTGGCAAAGGAAGTAAAGTTTTTATATATATATATATTTTGCATTAATGTTCGCTTATGAATCATGCATATGAATGTGTGAAGAAAGTTTTGGGTAAATTCTGATTTCATGTTGACTTGACAAAGTTAAAAATAACTCCTCAAATAAGCCCAGATTAGCTTCTTTGGTTAGCAGCTCTCAGTATGATTAGCAGTCATTTCACACTAATGTTACACAACCGACATAATGCACAAAAATACACAAATGTGGCTATGATTATACATGTGGTGACAAAACCCAGTGGTGTCAAATGAGACACGCATGCACACATACAGGGAGCAGGGGTTTAAAGTAAAGATATCTGTCAGGCACTGCTGCACTACAATTAGAACTAAACCATAGATACGTCAAAGATAAAGTCCTAAAGTCATGCTAAGTGCACAAACATGCCCTCTCCATATGTTCAATCTTATGTCAACAGCAATTATGTTGTGACCAAAGACAGTGGTGACGCAACACTGCAGCTACGAGTCACTGCATGGCCACCAGCTCATTGCCTGTGAGTGTCATAACATAAGACGTCACGTCTGTTAGCCAGAAGTGAGGAAATCTCTGACATCACAAACGCACACACACACATACACACACACACACACACACATGCACAGACTGTTTTACTATAACGTACCCCAGCTCATCCAAGTAAAGTCTCCTTGGAGAAAAGAAAATTGAGATTTTCTTTGAGAGAAATTGAATTGAGAGGAAGGTTTACATCATTTATACATCATGAATGTATACATCAAGCTGAATACATAAGCGTTCCATTGATTTATGGTTTGTTAGGATAGGACAATATTTGGCCGAGATACAACTATTTGAAAATCTGGAATCTGAGTGTGCAAAGATGTGGGACTATCAAGAAAAAAAAACCACACAAGATATATTAAAGAGCGTTTTAACAGTTTTTGTTCATACAATGAAAGTCAGTGGGGTCCAAAACAACACTGGACCCCATTGACTTTCTTTGTTGGGAGAAAAAATATCTTCTGTGCTCAGTAGAAGAAATAAAGTCAAACAGGTTTGGTATGACATGAAGGTAAATAAATAGAATAAGCAGAATTTTTGGATAAGATCAGAAAATTTACTACTGTGAATCATACAAGCTCCAAATATTCTGATTAATGTAAAACTTTTAACTCGATACAAATAGAAATATAAACATACACTGTTTCTTAATATTCAGACATCACTTCTGAACACCATTTAGAATATAAACAGGGACATGTTTGTCCTTTACAAGTGGAAAAAGTGATAAATGTTTAATTGCCGTTATGCTTTTATTTTACAATCCATGATCTTGACATTTCACAAAGAATTATATAGACCAAAATCTGAGTCAGTGTCCAAAAAAGGGTTATGCTGTCTGCTGTCTCTCTGGGTTCAGATCACACCCGCCCCCCCCCAAAAAAACAGTACCACACAGTGTTCGAAAATGTGAGAATGTTAAAATGCTTTAAGTGCTGATTTTGTTCCTTTGTCCCTTTGTCAATTTGCACTTGACTCTTTTCAACCACAGAATACAATTACTGCAATATACAGCTCAACTTTTCCCAATAAAATGTAAAAATATGTTTTGTCTTCTGTCTTTTTGTGCATTGAATATCATAATTAAGATTGTTTGAGCCGTATTCTCCCACAAAAACCTCACTAATTCTTAAAACAGACCAGCTTTTAGTCTAGACTAATCATTAGATAGTTAATCTGGATCCTGAAGGCTGGAAATTTTGGGGTCCTGTCGACATCCATCTAGCAAATGTTGTCTAGCATACTGTCCAGTTCGTTGGAAATTAACTGCAAACTTTTCATAACCAGCAGCGTAACATATCATGGACATTATTTGCTCAACAAGTCATTTCATCTACTGCAAAAGCAAAACTAGTTTGAGACAAAGACTGTCTGAGTCTCAGAGACAGTGTTAGAGGGGTACCATCAAACTAAATAAATATCATTCAAATGACGTGCTAGCCTTAGAAGCTGAGTTGACTAAATAATTGTGCGTGACAGCGTACTGCAGAAATTTAGGCTCTCAGGGAGGTTTGCGGCCCTCACTGGGTCTAATCTTCCCATTCAACACGTTGAGGTCTATGGTAAGTCAAGGCCGAGTTGAAGTCCTTTGGGATTGTGGCTTGAGGATGCCCTATGGTGGTTTTCATGTTTGGGTTTCTATGCTGGTTGATCTTCTTCAGCATGGCTTCAGCCAGTGATTGTTCGAGCTCGGCAGCCTCATCTCGAGATCTTCCTTGTATGAGTTTTCTTATGGTCTGAAGGTCTAGATCAGACCGGCAGTGCAAGTAACTCCTGAGGTTCAACTCCGGAAAAACGACCTCTCTCAGAGCCACAACCATCAGACCCTTTGCATGGTATCTCTCGAGCTGATGCACGACATTCTCCTCCAGGGATACAAAACACATCCCTTTACCCGTATCAAATGCTTCCATATACCATGGTGTTGTTGTGTTCTTCCCAACGGATAAGGAGTAGCCAGAATTGCTTGGCACCTTGTTCTTCGACCACTGCTGTTTCTGAGTTGCTTGGCTCCAGTGTCCCTGCTTTTTGGTCTTCTTCAACTTCTTATCCTTTCCCGATTGGGAACTCAACTTTGGCAGAAGTTGGTAGAGTCTCTCATCAGCCAAGTCCGCAAGGTCACCCACCAGAAGCTTCTGGATGACTTGCTTCCTCTGAAAGGGGGACGCCGCTGAAAGAATACCGTGCAGTCCTGCACCAGACACAATGTAGAGAGGTGTTCAAGCTTAGATTTGCAACAAAGGACTGCTAGGGTAAAGCTTGACTAGAGCAGGGGCTAGAAGGAAAACTGACCTTTCTTCTCCATAATTCAGCTTCTTAGGAAACATTGCCATGCAATAAAGAATGCAGCAAGAAGCGGTAGACTGAGATATCGATGGATTGAGCCTTCATGCTAGGATGTTAGCAAACAGCAAGACTGAAGTAGATCACAAGCCTCCGGTGATGACAGCAAACCCAGACTTCTCTCATAGCAACAAAATGCCTGACATTTAGAAACAAACTCTGTGGTGCACCAACTCTAAAACCAGGTTTAGAGGGAAAGATTTATGTCAGTTGAAGCATCTAATTTAAAACCCAGCATTTGTTTTGAAGGAGCCTGCAGTAGCAAAGGTCTTTCATTGAGGAAAAAAGGTAACAGTGCATAAACGGAGGCCTTACACAGATGTTGAAAGAAAGACAAAGCCAACTTGAAAGTTCATATTCCTATCAATTCTTTGATAGGAAACCATGGCACTTCTGTTCAAGCATTGCAGCAGATATTTAAGCACTTCAGGTTTAGCCCTTCATTAGGCTTCCTGGCCATATTATACACAATCAAACAGCAAACTAGACTCAACTTACCATCCTTGAAGGAAACCAGTACCACTCTGTTATCTGCGAGTTGTGGTTTCCGGTAATTTCCATGAAGTGGCACAGTAGCAGACTCTTGGGCATAGGAGGCGTACAGCGCTGTGGCCAATGCCAAAAACTGTAAAAACACAACAGTAACATTCCTACACACAATATGGACAGCAGAGACTATTGCCTCAGAGTTGCAAGTCACACACAAAGTGTCAAGGTTTGGCTAGTTAGCTGTTTGCAGTTCTGACAACTCTCGGAGTTTAACATGGTAATATACATGGCAGTGTATACATGGCAGTCTTGGCGAAATAGATCTGTTATCCTGCTGCTGCTGCGGCAGAGCAAGTACCGAGACTTGCTACTGCCAATACATCCACAGACATGCTGCTGTGAGCATGTAGGAAATACTGCTGCTGCCCATAATGAAATAACCCCCATATATAACACATGAAATCACCCCGTCGCAGATCTATACAGGTGGAGCTGGGGAAGGTGGAGGATTTCTGAAGCATGCTGCAATGGCTACAGCAAGCACTAGCCGAATATCTGAATGTTGAGCAGCAAGCTCATTGCCTGCTGATATGAAAAGAAACCAATCAGCTGCACCATGTGAACAATGATATCATTACATCAGATTGAGCTAGAACTTATTGGCCTTTGGATTTATGCCATAACTACATGTACTACATCTATTGACAACCATTCAAAAGTAGCCGTGTATTCTGATGAAATAAACTTTTTTTTCCAAGCAACATGTGAATCATGTCTGCTGCTAATGGATAGATTAGCCCGAGGTATTATAGACCTACTTGAACATACTAACAAGCTCATTATCTTGCAGTGCAGATGAAGAGTATATTTAATAACAGTTGCCCGATTTGATTTATACTAAACCACCTTTTCTGGAAAGCAAAGCATCACCGTTGACATTTAAAGTACCTATTTTTGTGAAATACCTGTTTTCGTGAAATGGTAACTGGTCTTCTGAACACGGTCCATAGCACACTGGGATAGCAGGGCGGTGTGGTCAGAGAACCATCGTAGCGGTAATACTCATCCAAATGGGCTGGTAGCAGCGCACGGATGTTAAATGCTGGGACCTGTATTTTCTGATCTGTCAGTTCACAGATTAGCAATAGGAGAGTGTTAGCATACTTGTGCACATCTCAATCACAGATATTTGAAACTATATGAAAGTAATGTACCTCTGTACTTTATGCCATTCATGTATTTGAACAATTTTTCGAAAGCAGGGTTGAACTCTCCAATCTAAATTATATAAAACACAGACTGATTAGAAAATAAGAGTTATGCTGGGGGAATTTGTTGATGTGACTTTCAAGCACTGATTACAAGAACTTATTACAGGGACAATCACCATAAAGTATCGAGAGTTAAATGCCTTGCGGTGATGGCTCATTGCTTAGTTCTTGCGGGAATCAAACCAGCAACCTTCCGAGCACCAACCCCGAGCCTTAACCACTATACCACATCAGGTTGAGGTCTGGACTCACCTCAATGAAAACTCCCAGCACAGCCAGTCCATCATGCTTGTCCACTGCCATTGAGATGTTGGGGTATTTGTCAGAATTAAAGTGTACTACATGCATCTGGATACAACAGAAAAGGCTTGCTTCAATGAGGAATCATAAGTAAATCTATCTATCTATCTATCTATCTATCTATCCGTAGACTGAAACAATAGAGCCTTGAATGCAAAGGTCACGACCTAGTGCTGCATCTAAAACAGAAAACTTTTGCAGTGGAATATCCATATATTGCAATAGCATTTGTCGACTCGTTTGGACATGCCATTTGATTGGCTAAAGAATTTTAGAAGAAAGCCATAAATTCTCACAGTGTCTTTTCAGGTCTATTCACAGGATGTGCCTTCTGGTCCCTGGATAGAGAGGCAACAGGCCAATATAAAATGGCACAGGTCTGAACTACAGAGCCACAATAACTATAAGTTCTATCTTTGGGAACACATTTAGGTGTGTTCTAGGAACACAAACGGTGCAGATAATTTCCGTGTCCTAAAGTGATAAACAGAGATGGAGTGAGTATTATTTGGGACACCTCCATGCATGTTACTGAACATTGCATCATGCACTGTCGAGTCCCAACTTCAGGTTTCTTTTTAAATCCACTATAATGGGCTTATGCAATCGAAAGCAGTTTGATCCTGCACTAAAGGTGTTCATAGTAATGGATGAGGTCTCGTCTTTGAGGTTTGCGTGTACATATTTACTTTACCTCTCCAGCAAACTGTTTGCCATTAACAGTGTGTTCTGATCCAGTCAGCAGATTGTAAGAGCCCCAGTGGAAGTGGAGCTGAGCTGCTGAATATCTGTGAGGGAGGCTGGAGATGTACATGTGAGATGGCAAAGACAACTGCACTGTGGGTACAAAGGAAATAAATAATAAATTTCATCTTTAAGGTATGGTCACGTGCAAGACAAAAAAGGTCTATTCTGGCAAATGCATCAGATTCGGGTGAAAAACGATGCAAAATCTGCAAGGGGAAATGTTCCGCCAAATCAAAAAAGACCATCCCCAAAAATAAAAAATCTAATCACTACTACAAGTAATATAACATTTCTTCTCAATAATCCATATGATCCTGTCCAGAGCAGAAACGGTGCAAGGAAATTTTAATGTTTAAGGTTTTTGTTGCACTTTCACCAATAATAATTATGGCTAAGGCCTTGCGTATTTGACAAATTCTGCAAGCTTTTCAACTAATAATCCTGCCTAACTTTTTCCAAACTCAGTGTGAAATGGCTCCAAAATCCCAAACACAGTGGTACACTGTCAGGAAACCTCATCAGTATTCATCCTTGTGGCTAAAGCTCTGTGGCAGCAATGCACACTTACTGTAGTTAACTATACATTTCCCTCTCTTTCGAGCAGGACATGGCTCTTTGGAGTGAGAGTGAATAAAATAAGAGTGTCTTAAGTAAACAATCACAGTCGAGAAATGGTAAATGGAAGAACTACAGTCTATTTAATGCACTTTTGACCAAAAATATAGCCGAAAATACCCATTACCTTGAAAAGCAGCACATGTGATGTTGTTTAAGACTTTACCTCGAATCACAACTTTGCCATTTTTTCCAGACTAAAATACAAACAGGTTTGTTTTATCATAATAAGTGGGTGATTACAAGAAATGACATGCAAAATAGATCCTTCTATCATTTTCTCCACGTTGACCTACAAATTAAGTTTGAGAAGAAAGACTATTTTACTTTTATGTGTGATGCACGGTCTCATTAGTTTAACAACCACAAATCCTTTAATCTATTGTAGTGAATAAAAGGTCTATGTTTTCACTCAGACATTACAATATGGAATTTAATATCTAAAAATGTACATTTTAAACGGTATGTAATGTGACAATAGTTATTAGTTGTCTTTAAAATGCAAAATGCTGTATAATCATACTGCACCAACCAGAGTGTCCGTTGTTGCTGAGAGTGAGCTGCTCATTGGTCGACAGGTTGTAGTTCTGGACCTGGATGGGCGGCAGGTTTGAATCATATCTCAGCAGATGTGTCTGGAAGTCAATAGGCGACTGGAATGCTCCTCCGCAAAATGGATAGTTGCTGGACCAGTTGTGTTCTCCGTCAGGTCCTGAAAGCAAAAATCAAAGAAAGTTGTGGTTACCCAAGTGTCCTTCCCTGGCCGTTTCTTATCTGGCGGCGTTTGAACATTTGATGTGGCCAGAATTGGATTGCATTAAAGTTTTGCTAAGACACAGGCTAAGGTCAGCGGTTACAGAACACTGCCTTACAAAATGAATGCCCTTACATGAATACCACACCCAACAATAAAAGATAATGTTTTGTTGCTTTGGGGGAGGCTTTGAAGTCATTCCAACAGTATAAACTCCAAGAGTATAAACTTGTCTAAGAGACATTTCTGGTGCATTGTAGAGAAGAGGGTACAGAAAAAGATAATTTTTTGAATAATATGGCAAAGTTTCTAATTAAAATAATAATTTCTAGGCTTTTTAAATGCAATTATCATTGCTTTCTACTACTGAAACAGTGGCAGTAAAATTGGTTTGCTGTCGCTGTGGGCTTAAAGCATCATATTAAGGGCTTGTGTATTCTTTGTCAATGATGATCATGGTTTTGTGGGCAGCTTTTGTTTTCTGGACTGCTGTAACTGCGAGATTTCAACACAATGTCTCTTTCAGAAGCTTTACATGTTCCTCCCTTGTGGTCATAATTACTCGCTGCTCAGTTCATTTCTAATCTGGACTAGCCTCTCCATCATAATCACATCAGGTGCCTGTGGCCTGTTCATAACCCTTAAACCATAACTGTTATGAAGTCATAATGAGCAGACCTCTACAGTAAAACATCTGCAGCTCACTGGTCTGGATGTGTTGGACATTAACACTGAACTGTTGGAAGCTGAGGTCATGCAGCTAAGTTACTTATTAAATACATTTAATGAATTTTAAATAATAAAATTAAATACATTTAAATACTATTATCTAACTAGTATTATTTAAATAGTAATTAAATATTTTTATATAATAAAATTGTATTCTATATATTTAAATTATAATAATTTTTTTTTTAAATAAAGATAATATGGGGTTTGTTGCAACTGACTAATTATCTGAGTCCAAGTTCGTGCCCACTCAAGTCCAAGTTCATTCACAATTGCCGTCCGAGTCCAAATCCTGAGTCCAAGTACCCGAACTCTAGTTGCTAGGGTGTTCTAGATGGTTGTTAGGTGACTGCTGACTCAAGTCAAAAGAGCCTCGTCCTAATAGGTCTCTATGATATTCTCTGTTCAGCAAGCCACATGATTGAAGTATCATTCATGTCTGTCTGGCATAAATTATGCTAAAATAATAATCTCAGCTAACTTTTTGGAGCATTTGTGCATCTGTTTTCATCTTAAGACCTCAGGCAGTGAGATGTTTGATGTCATTATGTCCCTGTATGTGATAGAAAACGGCCTTGACTCAGCTGAATTAATTCAGACTCTGAATGTCAAGAGCTCTCAGTGTTAGCCGCCACAAAGGACAACACTCATCGGAGCTCTGTTTGATGGGCATGATAACATCTAAACAACAGAACAAGCACTGCAGTGTTTCTCGTTGAGCTATTTGTCATGGTATTTCAAACAGTGGTCAGTTGGAAACTTCACTCATTTGTCACATTGTCTGCATGTCAAAATATATATTTTTATGATATACATTAACATTTTAATGGGCAAACAATTCCCATAGATTTACATTTTGGGCCACTTGGGCCAGTATTCAACCACTTAGCAATAGCCAAGCAACTAGAACAGCTAGAAACCACCCATGGCACCCTAGCAACCGCACTGCAACACCCTGGCAACCACCAAAACACTTTAGCATCATACCTCTGACTTCTGCATGAGTGCCACTCATGTTTTCTTCAGAAAATGCTAAGATCTAGTTTTAGTAGCAACTAAACTTAGCAATTTGCTTAATGAGGGTGGTTGGTTTGATAATCACATTGTCTAAAAAAAACAAGCCTAAATACAGCACATTACAAGGTAGTCTGACTTTGTAGGCACTGTAAATTTGCACGCAGAAGTGAAAATTATTTCACAAGTTTAACTGAAGGGACAGAAGAGATTCAGCTTGTAAATTGCAATGTGCCACACACAAAGACAGAATAATATTATGCATTGTTCTTTCCTAAGTACAGGGAGCTATGAAATTTCACAGGCAAGCAATTAGACGAACAATCTCTTCCCAAAATAAAGCCATTATAACAGCTCTGTTTTGCAGTTGAGGTCCCTTGAGTCGCCATATATATCAGTTCAAACCAGCCATAAAATAAATCAAAACAAGACATGTAATGTAATTACATAAAAGTGTGTAATTCCATACTCAATGATAATTACTCAATGAACCTGCAATAATTCAACAAGGTCTCCTTGCAAAGCCAGTGAGAACATGTGAGTGACAGCGGCATGAGGAGAGAGCTGGGTGGGCAAACTAACAGGAATCACATGGTGAGAATCATTTCAGAGCCATGAGGGCCAAAAGGGGTCAAAACGAGGTCATCTTTGCACCACGAGATCCCATTTTCCAGGAGCAACATGTTCTTTGATACCTCCTTCATGGTTGCCAGAGGGTCTCCATGAGCACACTGGTATGACATACTGGGATTGTTAGAGATAACAGTTAAAAAAACCTACCTTGGCTCATGAGCATGGTAACCAGAATCCCGTTTGGTTCCCTAGGTGCAGGCAATAGACCAGAACACTGCGACAGCGGCCGTGATTAAGCACGTTTATTTTAAAGCTCTTCAGTGTGTAAAGAGCACGTTTTGCTGGTCTCTGTAGCAGATGACTGGATGACCTTTACTACTGATGTGAAAACGACTCCATTATAAGAGAAGGCATTACAACTCAATTACTTGCAGTCAGGTGATAACCTAAGCTAAAAGTTTCACGATTGCTCCATCTTGCGTTTGATTGGACAAAATCAACATTTTTTTGTCAACTTTTTGATTGTGAGGAGTCTTTAATAGTGTCTCTCCGTAGCGAGTATGGCGTCAGGTTCAATTAAGTTCAATTAATTTCAAGGAATCGGTTTCGAATTGTTTGTTTGAATGAATCAAATAAAAAATGATTCAATGATTCCTTTGTTTCATTAAATCTGCACTGCTCACAGAAGTCTCTGTGTGACATTTTTAATATATTAAAATGTTTTACTAAAATTAGACAAAAGTTTGAGGAGCGTACGAAATTAAATCTTTTATTAAGCAAGGACACGTTGAATTGATCAAAAATGACAGTAAAGAATAATTCATCTAATTTGACTAATTTGAAATCTAATTCAAAATGCAGTTCTTTTGAACTTTCCATTTATCAAAAAAAATCCTGAAAACATACATCACAGTTTTCTCAAAACTATTAAGGTGCACAACTCTTTTCAACCTTGATAATAATAATAAATGTTTCTTTAGCAGCAAAGCAGCATATCAGAATGATTTCTGAAGGATCATGTGACACTGAAGAGTAATGATGCTGAAAATTCAACTTTGCATCACAGGAATGAACTACATTTTAAAATATATTAAAATAGAACACCGTTATTCTAATAATATTTCACAATATTACTGGTTTACTGTATTTTTGATCAAAAAATGCAGCCTTGGTGAGCATAAGAAACTTCTTTCAAAAATATTTAAAAAAAAATCTTATCAACCCAAAAGTATGCAGGTAAATATTGCTGTTTATGATTATATATTGCTATATGGCACATAAATACATAACTGTGTTCATTTTGTGGAAAGCCATTTTTATATTAAACATTTTGAATTGCAACAGTGGTTGTTTGATTGAAATTAAATAATAATAATAATAATAATAATAATAAAAGGTCTTCTTACCGTTATATGACCATTTTGCCCCTGAAAAAGAAACGGAAACAAATGTTTAATGCTTTTAAAGTTCTTTAGGAATCACTCAATTCAGTCATAAATCAGTCAAATAATGCATTCCATTGCAGCTGGACTCCATTCTGGTTGCATTGCTGCTCTGGTCACTGCTGGCTACTCTCGGTCAATCTGACTGACAGGCTGAGCCAGACTCTTGCTGCTCTTTCCCAGAGATTTCTGGTTCACAATGAGATTCCCCCGGAGCATGTATAATCCGTCACTGCTTAAAATGCTAAAGAGCAAGTCACTGGAAATCAAGGCATTCCTTGAATGATTAAAGTTCATAAGTTTAATTTAAATTAAATAACAGATGTTGACACAGAGTCTATAATGAAACGCAAAGCATTTTTGAACAGCTATTATTAATGTACCATGCATTAACTGTAAAGTAATGAAAACTTTTCCCAAATGATGCAGGAAATTATGATATTGTCTCAATATGAGATTTAGATTCCAAACAGAAAGCCGCAAAAATGTCCCAAGCAATTTGGTCATCGCTTTAATTCACAAAAGTTAATCTACCTTGCTGCTGTAGGACCACAAGTTTTTCCTGAACTGACCCTTTGGGGAAGATCTACAGACAAGATATTAACAGCGCAGTTAAGTCGGCACCTGAACGCTAATTTGGCATGACAAATGTTTCACCTGTGGTTTTCAATACACTGAGGTCATTCGAGGTCATCTGTCAGATCTTCAGACACAGCCTTGCTAATTCAAAGCATTTTGGGGTTCTGCAAATTCATAATTACACATTATGATTTTACGTTTTTACTTTACTCCCAAGGTTGTTCATTTATGGAAACAGCATTCACCCACTCATTATGCTAACAACTTAAATGAACTACCAGGAATCTATATTTGATGTTCAATTTTCTTCCAAATTACTGCTTCTACACCAGTATGAGGCTATATTGTCCATTTAAAGTGATGCAAAATGTTGCCAATTTTTACAAAAGCTTTCGACTGAGTACTAAAAAAAAATACATTCACAAATATGCTTAATAAATTAAGTAATTTTCTGAAAGTGATTTAAAAGAATGTAACAGAAATAAGATATAAAAATAATAACATTTTTCTGCAGTATAATATGCAAATGTAACATCTATAATCCATTATTCACCAACAAAAACTATAAAATAAGGTACCACATAATAACTTATTAGCAAACATTTCCACATTATGTTGAACACATCATTAATGATTCACATTTTCATTTATACTTTTATATGTAATAAACAATTTTGAATGCACATGACCTGTTAGGTGATAGGTTATCGTGTTTCTGACCAATCAACGGAAGTTAGGTTATTATAACGGGAGTTCTGCAAGACTTACCTGTGGACGCGAAGGGACACGCGATCAAGATGATGCATGTAAGTGTAAGCGTCATTGCAAGTGTCAAGGTACCGGCTGCTTCAGAAGTCGACTCAGAAGAGAGAAACCCTGACATAGCCTAGCTGTCGGAACCGGCTCTTATATCAAGCATGCTGCGCTGCGAGTTAAACGGAGGAGACGTCACGGAGATGACAGAGCAGCGCGCTCGTTTACAGTGAGTGACTTCATCCAAATCTGCGGCTGTGCCTCGAGCGAGTGTGCTGCCTACCCATACAGCATTTTGGCCATCAGAGGAGCATAGCTTTGTCTTAACTCTGAGAAATAGCTATTAGCCACAGGTTCTCAAACCGGTCATTTTAAAACTCTGCAAACAAGGTACAATAGAGCGTCATCTGATATGAGAAAAAAAAAAAATTACAGCTTATATGACAGTGATTATATCTCCATATTGCAGCATTTGTGCTGCTGTATATACATTATATTTGACTGGTTTTGCTGCTATTGCACCATAATTTATCATCTCGCAATTCATCTGTCAGTCCATGCGCACGAAACGCCGCTCAGCCAATCAAATTCGAGGACCGTAATTAATTGTTGCAGGCCTACATCATCATCATCATCATTATTATTACAAGCCTATAGATATACTGAATAGATAGGCTAAAAGCGCAACGATAATTCAGTTTATACATGAATAGTTTAAATTAATACATCCTAAAAACTTGCAGTCCATAACTGTGAAACATTTGACTAACATTGGTAAACATTGAACTGAATTAATGTTGGGTTAAACTCAGTAATGCTAATATATTAGTATATATTAGTGGATTATTATATATATATTAGTATATTAGTCTCTCCCCCTGCTGGTGACCTTGAAACAACTTCAAATGAGTCTTGTTTAGGTTTTCCATTTTTCGCTCACCTATTTTGGCTCTGAGGAAATTTAATTCCTAAATTTAAAAAATGGGTTGTGTTTCATTCTTGTTTTCCTTTTGTTTAAATTTTCTTAAAAGCCATTTTAAATCATTTTAAGTAGTTAACACCCGTGTTATTATGGTGGTTGTCAGTAGGATCCAAATAGATTTTTGGTAGCAGTGTGGTTATGCTAATTGAGCAGAAAGTGATGGTTGGATTTACTGGTTTAAAATTGGTTTTGTAAACTGCAACAGTTTTAAACTAAAATTTACAGTTTATTTTGTAAAGTTGTTTAGTGTATATTTTACAAAATTATTCTGGCAACCACATCTGCCAGTATTTTACTGTAAAACTAGCAGGATTTTACTGTTTTAAAACTAATTCAGTTCTATATATCATTTGTCATCTTCTGATATCAAGTTTGGATCTTTTTTTTCTCCATTTGTGCTGTTAAAGCTGTTGCGTCATGACTTAAGTAAATGCTAAATACTTGAAAAGCTGAGAATGTAACTGCGGTTGTTGACCATTCCAAATAAAAGTCTAGCATATTCTTTAAAATTGTGTAAAGAAATTCAAATGGTGGAAACGGCAGTCATTATTTTTATTATATTTTAAATACATTGAACTTCCCAACCATAGACATATGAAGTGATGTCACAGTTCATGGGTTCACTGACTCATTCTCGCTGTGTGTGTGTGTGTGTGTGTGTGCGCGTGAGCGTGCGGCTGTAATCGTGGCTGATGAGTTGATCAGTGCCAGCTGTGGCTCATCAGCTCTGCTATTTAATACCTGTGCAACCTGTCCTGTGTTGTCAGATCGTTTGGTGTTCCTGCTGTGTTTGAGTCTCCCTGGTCCTGCTCTTTGTCTCCTGTGGGCTCTGTTCCTGTCTCTCGTGGAATTTGTTCTGGATTTGTCTTGGAAGAGCATGGCTGCCCATTTGCTTCCCTGCTCTGCCTAAAGTGATTATGTGCACATACTTCATTTGACTCTTGCCGTCTGCCGTTGGCTGTCCCTTATAGAACATACATTAAAACATTATTCAGCCCCATCATGTATATAAGTATAGGCTATTAAAAATGTTAAATACATTGAGTGGCTCAGATGGTAAATTACTGAGGGATTATACTCATTTGACCTCATTTGACTGGTTCACTAAAAGATCATCTATGTGTCGCAGTGGGTGATTCACATAGTAAGTGACGTGACAAATTTAGATTGTAGCGACATTATAAAGTATATCAGTGTGTATAAGAAACAAAATCTCAAGAACCTTATTTACAGCATGGATTTTTCCCCTTCAGATAATGGCAGGTTTGGTTAAGACACCATTTTTGACATAATATTACAACAGGTTAAAAAGGAGAAAAGCTACTTATCACACTTTTCACTCAAGTGAATATTAATTTGTGCCAACATGCCTCTATAGCAGGGCATATTAAGTTGTTAAAATAGGAACCTGCTGTTTATTGACAGTAATTTACTTTTAATACTATCTAAAGAAAACAGAATCATTCGCAATCTGTTTTTAAACTCCAAAATCGCGTTAAAAATGTGTATGCTTCATTTACATAGCCTTCCTTATATGGTATCAGCCCATATATGGGTTCATTTGAAAGCTTGGAGTGTCTTCTTTACAAAGAATACCATAAATCTTGGTTTTAGGATTCATAAGGCAGTAAAATTAAGCTTAGAAAAGTATTCGTCCCACACACGAATTTCCGCCTAACGATTGCGAATAATTTTTTCGAAGAATGTGTATTTTATATATTTTTCACAAACAGTCAAGTCATATATTACAAGAAAGCTCTCATTCTCGGGAATTTGACTATGTAGATTATTTCATTGTGTGACAATCACAGATCGAATGATCTTCAATAGAATCGCGATGTGAAATTT